CTTTGTTATGCTGTCAGCAATAATTTTATTTATTACAGTCATTTTATAATGCCCATCACTGTAGTATCTGTGCATGATTTAGATTAATGCATATATATTCCTCTATACGTAAGCCATGAAGAAGCATCGCAAACACACTCCAAATAGCAGACCCTGTTATGGCACAGTTGTGCAAATTCAGCTTTTTCCTTTACCACTATCATATTAAAAAGGGAACAGGAGAAGTAGGAGGAGTTATTACTGCCAAAATAAGTTGAATTAACATTAATTGAGAATTACCGAAACAAGACATACTACAAAGTTCAGAAAATACAAGAGCTTACAGTATAAAAATAAACTGTAAGTCTTTGAAGTCAAATAAAGGCAAAGCTTTTTTACCATGGAAGGAAATACTGTCTAGAACAAAATCATGACAAACTGAAAGGAGACTACATTGGGAAAAGGATCCATTAACAATGGAACAGAGCATGCTCACAGAAAAAATAAATAAAGTAGCATAATCATTTGCTATTTCGTCCTATCAGGCATCGAGACATTATCTATTGTAGCCATTAAACCACTCCCCAACAGACTAACATCACAGCCTTTGAATGGATCAGATAAGGAGCTCTGGGCCTGAAAAAATTAAACCTTCAGTGAGAGAGCACACATGGAGCCATAAACAGTTGTCCTCCCTTCCTACTACTTTGAACAAGAGATTTCCTTCTATTAAAATATTCTCAAATTACCAATTTAATATCTGCACTTGTGATATATATCATCATGCAGGTTTCTCGTAAGACCAAAAGCTAAAACACTATTATGGAAGTACATAAATACCATATTCTCAAATTGCAAGAATTGGAATAGCCACATGTATAAATACCCCCATATTTTACACCAGACAGGTATCACTGCAACCCTGCAAGATACATTCAGATATTTAACACTTAATATACTTGTTTAATATTTATCATTTGAATATAGATATGATAAGTTAGTGTCCACTACTGCAAAAGTTTCATCCATTTGATGAGAGCGTGCACATGGTTTCAACAACAGATTATCCCAACAAGTGATCTCTAACATCTGACAGAACACTAACAAATTCTGCAGCTTCAGGCTGAACCTTAAGTAAACATACACCCCTATATACACACACACACAGAGCGCATCAGGATATATACTGTACCTAATCTGATACCATATACACACACACAATATATATAATACACATACATAGAGTATGGGGGCAAATATATGTGTGCATATATATAAATACATAGAGGGCGATGTGTATTTACTTAGGGTTCAGCCTGAAAGCGCAGAACTTAAAGCTTGGTCAGATGTTAAAGAGATCATTTGTTGAAATAATCTAAACACACAAACACACACAGATACTATACCTAAATCCCCCCATGCACACATAGGTGTTTTTTAAATATATCATATATTTATGCACACAATACAAATATAGTATATTGATAGTATACAGTATCAGATATAGT